TGGTCAATAATTCTTTCTTTAATGATATATTAAGAGGACTCACTGAGAAAAAATATTTAAAAAGGACTCCCCATAAAGCCTGGCACATAGTAGGCCTTAAGTGAATATTCTACCTTTTCTTCCTGGGCTTCTGGAGGTGGAAGGCAGAGATGGGCTGCCCAGTGAGGGCCCCTCCTCCCTACACCCAGGGCTTGGACCCCAGGATATCTTAGTGCATTCCAGATTTTCCTCTCCTTCACTAGTTTTCCCCTTCCTTGGTTTTCTAGACTTGGTTTTCACACCTCATGTTTTGGGAACATCCCAGAATCCTCTGGAAAGAGCCTATCTCCCTGGAATAAGGTGTTCCTGATCTGGATCCCAGAAGATTCCAGAATACGGCTCTGACACCATCTCGTGGCCATGTCCCTAAACAAATAATGCTATCCAGACCCAAACCTAGGAAGCCAACAGGTCACCATAAGGGCAGAGTCCTAGGCCAGGCTCCAACAGGAGGCAGAAGAAACAGACCCTAAGCTGTCCTGGGGCACAAGGCTTAATGGCAGGGGTGCAATGAGCTTTATCTTAACCTTAGGACCTAGGCACAGAGAACAAAAGGAACCTAAGGCCCAGGGGTTTAGTAACATGCCCGAAGGCATAACAGCAAGGATTTGCGCATTTGCCAGGGGTTGGGTAACTAGGTCATGTTCCTAACCTGCCAGCCTCCTTCGTTTAAGGGTTGGAGTTGAGGAGGATTAGGGGATGATTTCTCTGGCCTTTTCTCCCTTCTGTCTGCACACATGGTCTTCCTCTCTGAGCTTCCTGTACCCATGAGGGGAGGCTGACTCCAGCCTAGGGTGAAGGGTGAGGGTGGGGGTGGGCCAGGCCCAGGGAATATTCTCCCCCATGTCAGGTGAGGAGACTGGAGTAAAAACGTGATGCCATCCACCAGAGTTGGGCTGGTTCCTAGGATCCTGGAATATTTCCCCCCTGCATTGAATAGAAGAGAAAACTGAGGCTCAGAGAAGGGCAAGGACCTGTGAGCCTCAACTGATCCAAGAAGCCAGAAGGTCTACCAGACTTCTTGCCTCTCCTCAACTGGCAGATACACATCTGAGGCCTCAAGTCCTTAATCATAGCTTTCTCATCCCCAATTACTTCAATTACTTGCCTTTTCCCACTGTTCAACCTTCCTGGTCCTTCAAACTCCTTGACTGATATTCCTGCTCCCTCTGAGGCTCTGCAGTGGCCTCTTACTTGTCTTGTGCTCCTAATCTCCACCCTCTCCTCTGTACCCTGGAGAAGATCTGAATGCCTCTGCATGGATTCCAACCACGCGTGCCCTAGCCCTTTCCTTCCTCTCCAGTCCCATCCCTCCCTCCATCCCTTCACAGACCCTACTCTCTGGCCCAGGGTAGTGAGGCAACATTTCAACAGGTGCTGGTTTTGTAGGCAGATTCCAATCTTGAGTGTGAACTTTACCAGCTGTGTGGCACTGGGCATGTTGCTTAACTTCTCTGGGTCTCTAGATCCTCATATGTAGTAATACTTGCTTCATGATTCAGGGGTGAGGATTAAATTATATAAAACCCTTAGCACAGTGTGTAGCACCTTAATAAACATTCAATAACTATTAGCTGCCAGCATTAGTATTAATATTAGTATTAATATCAGAAGAGGAAGGGGAGGGGAAGGAAGGGGGCAGGAGAAAGGTTAGAGCAGTTAAAATGAGAGTCCTTGGGATGCTCAGAGCAAGCAGAAGAAGAAATAAGAGCATTTCTATTTATTTTAATCTTTCCCACTGGAATGAATATTTTTTTAAAAGATTTTATTTATTTATTTGACAGAGAGATCACAGGTAGGCAGAGAGGCAAGCAGAGAGAGAGGGGGAAGCAGGCTCCCTGCCGAGCAGAGAACCTGCTGCAGGGCCTGATCCCAGGACCCTGAGATCATGACCTGAGCTGAAAGCAGAGGCTTAACCCACTGAGCCACCCAGGCACCCCTGGAATGAATATTTTTTATTCATCATAATTTGTTGTAAGCATTAAATAATATTAAATCCAGGCTGGGTCATAGGAGAATACATGCAAACATCACCAACAGTGTGTTTTTGTGGTCCATAAGTGCCTTAATGTGGTAAAACAGAGAAGATATTACTTGATATATTTTTTAAACTGAAGTGCTTCCAAGTTTGGTAGTTTCAATTCTGCTATTTCTTGAGAATGTCTTTAATAACAAGAACATGAAGAAATAAACAGTGCTGGTTCCCTAACATTAAAGTTTCAGGAATGTGGTTATTGCTTTCCAGAAGAGACCATGAGAATGACCTTATTTCTGACAAAGGAAAAGTTGAACTCCTGCCTTTAGTCTGCCTGATGAACCCAGCAAAAACAGAAAGGGAGAATGTAATTGACAACTTTGTCTTAATTGAAGCTGATGCTCCCATGTTGTTTTATAATGATGGTACTCTGGCTTTTTCAAAGGAATTAGCTCAAGCAGGAATTTTTAAAAGTATACAGAGCTCATTCAGTGCTAAGCTTGTTCTACATACTCAAAATAATCTTCTGAAGAAATAAATTTCCCCATTAAATGAATGAGGAAATGGAGGCTTCTGTAAGTGAAACGGCTCATCTAAATTCACATAGTTGGTGAGCATGGGAATTTTCAATGCCCTCCAGCCAAAGACCACAGGAACATACCTGCGGTTGGATAGGTTGGTTTATTACTTGTTATCACAAAGTGGGCAATGCAAAACATAAGGAATGATGGGGCATCTCAGTAACAGAGGGTTAGGAAGGACATTTAGGATTTGGGCTTGGATTAAGTAATTTGGGGGAGGGTATATGTTCAACAGGCGAACACCAAGGCCTACCTGTGTGTGCCACGCCAGCTCCTGGATACCAGGGACTGCTTTTATTTTTCTCAGAGCCTGAACCCAGATCCAGGTTTGTGTGGTTGGAAACATTTCCCGTGTTACTCTCTGTTCGTAGAAACCTGAAAAGAAGACAAGCAGACAAAGAATTTCATCTATGAGTTTATTTCGTCTACTACCTTCACCACCCACTCAGACTCAACCTCTCCTATAGTCCTTGGGATAATTGCAGACAGTTAATGAATATTTGTTGAATTAATGAAATAATGAAAATGTCAAAAACTCCAGAGAACAACTATCTGGGTGCAAATTGCATCTCCACCACCTATCAGTATGTGATTTGGAAATTCTTTAAAAAGATTTTATTTATTATTTATTTGTCAGAGAGAGAGCACAAGCAGGGGGAGCAGCAGGCAGAGGGAGAAGCAGGCTTCCCACTGAGCAAGGAGCCTGATGCAAGACTCGATCCCAGGACCCTGGGATCACCACCCAAGCTGAAAGCAGAGACTTAACCAACTGAGCCACCCAGGCATCCCTGGAAATTTTTAATTAAATGATAAAACTGTGTAAACTTTAAAAAGTTTTTCTTTACCCATTTGTAAAATGGAGATAACCACCAAAGCCATTCAAAGGACTGCTGTGAGGGTCAAATGAACTATTGTGTGGAGTGTGCTTAGTTAGAGCTCAGCAAATGTTAACTATTGTCATTTTCAGGATAAGTAGTGTGTTAGTTTTGTGATCACGTGTTCAAAATTTTTCCCACGAGGCATGAAAGCAAAGATCTTGTCTTGTCTCTTATCACCAGTCCCTAACACAAACAAATGTTTGATAGATAAATAAGTAAATTGGCTAAAACCCAGGAACTCCCACATTTAGATGATAAATTTTAATAACTTAAATAAAAGTTGCAAAAGTATATAAGGAACTTTCATGTACCCTTTACCTAGATTCACTACTCTTTAATATTTCACCTCATTTGCTTAATCATGCCCCCCCCCCACATACACGCATTTTTCTCTGAGTAATCCAAAATTAAGTTGTGCCCTTTTAGCTCCAAAATACTTCGGTGAGTATTTCCCAAGAACAAGGGCATTCTCTTAACAAAGCCACAATAGAGTGATCAAATTTAGAAAATTTAACATTGATACAATAGACATTAAGAACTAGTCCACAATCCATATTCAAATTTGTCACTTATCTCAATATTGTACATCACACCTATTCTGCTTCCCATTCCCCCTCCAGAATGCAATTTAGAATCACACACCACATTTTGTTGTCATGCCCCTTTAATCTCTTTTAAACCAGGATAGCTCCTCAGCCTATCTCTGTCTTTCATAATACTGACAGTTATTTTGTAGAGTGCCCTCGATTTGGGATTATTTCATGCTTCCTTGTGAGATTTGGGTTATACATTTTTGACAGAAATATCACAGAAGAGATGTTGTGCATCTTATTGGAAGGACCATGATCTTTACTTGACCTATAATTTGGATCACTTTGATTCACTTGCTCTTCGAGATTATACCTCTGTAAAATTACCATTTTCCTTTCGTAGTCAATAAATAATTTATGGGAGACACTTTTAATGTGTAATTACCCTGTTCCTCTAGTTTTACCGTTTATTATTGTTATTCTAACTCCATCAGTTTTGTTAGTTGGGATTCTACTAAAAGGAGGGGTTTTCCCTTCTCCTTATCTATTTAATTCTTTATTTATATCAGCAAAGACTCGTGGGTTACCATTTTATTTCATTAGTTACACTGTCACTATCATCATGTATTTTGATGCTCAAATTGCCCCTATTTGGTCAGTGGTATCTCCTTCAAGTTAGCTCCTGTGTCTTTTAACACGTTCTCCTCATTCTGATTCCCATCATCCTTACATTCCGATTCAACAAGATGTTCCTTTCCCTGGTACTTTCCCTGCCCTGACTCAGGCTCTTTGAAAGAGCTGCCCAAGAGCCCCTGTTTCTCCGCTTCCCGCCCTCAGGCGGAACCTTTGAGCCCGTGACCTGGGCGGGAGAACCGCGCTGCGGACCAACCTTTTCCGGTTATGGCCGGAAGTCCTCTAAGAGGGGCGGCTTTGTGTCAGGTGACCGAGTCTGCGTAGGAGTGATCGCAGTTCTTACCCGACAGCCTAAAGGGACGGAGTGGCAGGGCATCGGACGGACGGATAAGCTGGGTTGGCCGCAGCGGTGTTAGCTGGACAGAGGCAGGTACGTGATGGGCTCGGGTGGTAGTTTAGGGGCTGTCGAAGTTGAGGGACGCGGGCAGGGTTTCTGCCTTAACCGGGCCCACAGGCTGAGACACCTGACCCAGCGGCGCAGAGACAACCACCTCCGCTCTGCTTGGGACCCTCCGTCCCAGAAGAGAGGTGCAGTCGGCGTTGTGGTCTTTTATCCTGTGATTATAGTTTTGGGAAGGAAGGAAAAGACAGCCACGAGCTCTCCTTTCCGGGCAGGAACTCACTCTGACTCACTTTCTGTCCCCGGCTCGAGACAGCCTTTCTCAGGTGGATGTGCTTTAAATGATTTTGCACAGTTGGGCTTGGGAGTGAGAGAGCCGAGAGACTTCGCTGCATACAGCCAGTTGTGCGTTATGGGCCCAATCCATTCCCTTTGTTGAGCCTCAGTTTCCTCGTTTGTAAAACAGGGCAGTGTGCCTAAAATATGGTTCTTATAATGGTCTGTTTTGAAATGTCTCGAGGTGCATGCTTTACAGTGCCGTTCTCAAATAAGACTTCTGATTTAGAATCTGGGTCGAAACCTGGGATCGTTTTGAACATAACACCTCGGGGGTCCTGTACACACTGATGTTTGAAGGCCACTGATTTGAAGTGCTTTCCTGCTGTGAATACTAGATATCCGTATTCTTTGCTTTGAGGCAGCTGGAGCCATCTCTGGATCTTTGAAAGAATTGGGATGTTTAGCCCAGAAAAGAAAAGTAGAAGGAAACTGTCTTTTAAAACGGAAAACAATTGTTATGGTGAAGAGTGCTTCACTTTTTATCTTTGGGGTTGAAAGTGGCAGAGCTCGGACCAGTAGGCAGATTCTCTTGGTTTAATTGAAGAACTTAATGCTGGTCAGAGGTGACCAGCAATGGAATGGATTGGCTCCAAAAGTAATGAACTTCCGGTTAAAGGAGGTATATAGATATTAGATGGAGGTCCTTTCCAACCTGAAATGTCTGATTCTAAGTAACTCTTTCAACCTTTCTCGTGCTGACTGACTTATATTTTCTGCCCTCTTTTCTTGACACCTCCATCCCCCCCTCCCCCAGCCTACATTTTCTAGAAGTAAGGCCAGTGGTGTGAATTAATGTAATCTATCCCTGTGCACCATCTTTTTTTTTAATTTAATTTTTAAAAAAGATTTTATTTATTTATTTGACAGAGATCACAAGTAGGCAGAGAGGCAAGCAGAGAGAGAGGAGGAAGCAGGCTCCCTGCTGAGCAGAGAGCCCGATGTGGGGCTCAATCCTGGGACTCTGGGATCATGACCCGAGCCAAAGGCAGAGGCTTTAACTCACTGAGCCACCCAGGTGCCCCTGCACCATCTTTTTTTTCAGGGACTTTGGAATGGCCCATCTGATAAGGGCTCCTTAAGTGTTGTTGAATAACTAAGGAGGTACCCCACCCCATTGGTTTGTAGCTTATGTTCTTAGAGTAATTTGGAAATGCTGTTAAAGACTTCGTGTTTGAGGGCACCTGAGTAGCTCAGTCAGTTAAGCATCTGCCTTGGGCTTAGGTCTTGATCCTGGCCTCCTGGGATCGAGTCCCGCATTGGGCTCCTTGCTCAGCGGGGAGTCTACTTCTTCTTTGCCCTCTGCTCATGATCTTTCTTTCTCTTTCAAATAAATAAAATCTTTATTTACTTGAGAGAGAGAGAGAGAAAGAGAGACTGTGTTTGATCAGGAGAAGCCAGTGAACTCTTTGGCTCACAGAATTGAGGAGCCTCTGTCAAGAAGGGCCCCTCAGGGTTGTTCAGGCCGGCCTTTCCTGCCCGGGTCATAAATCCCTCTTTAATCCTCTCTCCACCAATGTATTATATAATATAGCTCTTGTATCTAATGAGAGAATTTTTGCAATCTGTCGGCTAACTTTTCATCCAGCATTTAAAACCAGTCATCCTAGGGATTTGACTTGCCTGCCAGTTCATCCTCCCTAATGTACAATCTACAGGTAATGCTTCTAGCATATCTTTAGTTTTCTTTTCTTTTTTAGATCTTATTTCTTTATTTGAGAGAGGGAGAGCAGGAGCTGTGGGGGTGGGGAACAATGCAGAGAGACAAGCATACTCCCCACTGAGGGCAGAGCCCCAGGGCTCATGCTTGGACCCTGAGATCATGACCCGAGCTGACCGACCCACCCATGCACCCCTAGATTATCTTTAGTTTTCTTTTTTCTTTTTTTTTTAAATTTTATTTATTTATTTGGAGAGAGTGTGCACTAGTGAGCTCAGGCACACAAGCAGGCAGAGTGGCAGGCAGAGGCAGAGAGAGAAGCAGGCCCCCCGCCAAGCAAGGAGCCCAATGTGGGACTCGATCCCAGGATTCTGGGATCATGACCTGAGCCGAAGGCAGCGGCTTAACCAACTGAGCCACCCAGGCATTCCTGTCTTTAGTTTTCTAGTAGAATGTTGAAGTTCCTAAAAGTAGGTCGTGTTTTCAAAACTTGTAAGAATATTTAGAGTGCCCTATGGAGCAAAGATTCCATATTATGACCCAGTTCTGCTCACATCCTATCCCCCTCCCGAAAAATAGATTGTGTTTGAGTTAAGGCTTCCTGCTTGTGTTTACCTTCCTGCTTTGTTTGTGTTTCCTAGGATTAAAAACAAAATTGTGAAATGCTTATTCAGATATTATCCAGGTGCTGGTTTAAAATGATCATAAATTGGTGATATCTTTAATACTTACTAATCTGAAATTTTCCTTTTAAAAAAGTACCTGAATCAGCATTTCCAAAGTGTGCTCTTCAGGCCACTTCTCGGAAGCGATGCCTCTGAAAAAAAGTGTTCCATAGTAAAAATAAGTTTGGAAAATGCTGTATATCATTATCTTTTCTTGGAACTTCTCAGCGTATAATACCACATTAAATATAGTGAGATGTCCTATAATAAAGAAACATACCTAATCTTGTTTAACCTAGCGTTGCCAGACTTAATTGATGTGCATGCAACACTTCTTTTTTAATTGAAGCACTCATTGGCAAATTCTTTTTTTTTTTTTTTTTTTTTTTATTTATTTAAGTAGCCTCTACACCTAATCTGGGGCTTGAACTCATGACCCTGAGATCAAGAGTCTCATGCTTTTCTGGACTGGACCCACCCTGGTGCCCCTTACATTGACAAATTCTCATCTGGAGAGTCTGCAGTTTATGGTATACAGGCCAAATCTGGCTCTATTGCCTGTTTTTGCATGGCATGTGAGCTAGGGATGGATTTTATATTTTTAAATGGTGGGGAATAGATCCAAAAAAGAATAACGTTTTGTGATATGTGAAAATTACAGGAAAATTAAAAGTATAAATAAGATTTTATTGGAATACAGCCACACCCATTAATTTACATATCATCTTTGGCAGAAGAGTTGAGTGGTTGCTCCAAAGACCATATGGTTTACAGTCTAAAGTATTATGGTATGGCATTTTACAGAAAGAATTTACTAGCCCCTGACTTGCATTGTGTACATTTTTTAAAGTTTTTTCCATGTACATTTTTTAACTCTTCGACTTTTTTACATTTTTAACTTTTTTAACATTTTAAAACTTTTGTATAATTTATTTTATTTTGAAATAATTTTAGACTTACAAAAATAATACACAAACTTCCTGTATACTTTTCACCCAACTTTCCCTGATGTTAACGTTTTACATAGCCATGTTAAAATTATCTAAATAAGTAATTTAACATTAATACAATACTACTAACTAATCTATAGACTTTATTCAGATTTAGCCATTTGTCTGCTAATGTTCTTTTTCTTTTCCAGGGTCCAGCCCAGTTTCCCACATTGCATTTAGTTGTCAAGTCTCCTGAGTCTCTAGTGATCTGAGACAGTTCCTCAAGTCTTTTTTTTTATGTATAAAGATTTTACTTATTTATTTGACAGAGAAGTCACAAGTAGGCAGAGAGGCAGACAGAGGGGGAGTGGGTAGCAGGCTCCCTGCTGACCAGAGAGCCTGATGCAGGGCTCTATCCGAGGACCCTGAGATCATGACCTGAGCTGAAGGCAGAGGCTTAATCCACTGAGCCACCCAGGCACCCCTCCTCAAGTCTTTTTTGTCTTTCATGACTGTAAACTTTATTTTTTTAAGCTTTTATTTATTTGAGAGAGAGAGAAAGCATAAACGGGGGGGGAGGGGCAGAGGGAGAAGCAGGCTCCCCACTGAGCAGGGAGCCCTATGGGGTGGGGGTGAGGGACTCATCCCAGGACCCTGAGATCATGACCTGCATGACCTGAGCTGAAGGCAGAGATTTTTGTTTTTTAAAGATTTTATTTATTTATTTATTTATTTGACAGAGATTACAAGTAGACAGAGAGGCAGGCAGAGAGAGGGGAAGGGAAGCAGGCTCCCTGCTGAGCCGAGAGCCCGATGCTGCAGGGCTCAATCCCAGGACCCTGGGATCACGACCTGAGCCAAAGGCAGAGGCTTTAGCCCACTGAGCCACCCAGGCGTCCCTGTTGATTTTTTTTAAAACAAAATTCACATATTATAAAATTCACCATTTAAAGAGTATAATTCAGTAGTTTTTAGTATGTTCATAAGGTTGTATAATCATCACCACTGTTTTAATCCCAGACCATTTTCATGTCCCCTCAAAGAAAACCTGCACGTGTTTGCAGTCACTCCTTGTTCCCCCCTCTTCCATCCCCTGGCAGTCACTAATATGGATTCATATAGTATGTGCCCTTTTTACTACGTGTGGCTTTTTGTGTCTGGCTTCTTTCATTAAGCATATGTTTTCATAAGGTTCATCCATGTTGTGGCCTGTATTGGTACTTCATTATATTTGATGAATAATATTTCATTGTATGGTTACAGCACATTTTGTTTATCCATTCATTAATTTATTGACATTTAGGTTGTTTCTGCCCTTTGGTTATTATGACTAATGCTTCTGTGAACATTCATGTGCACATTTTTGTTTGAACATATTTTCAGTCCTCCTAGATGTGTCTCCTTAGGAGTGGAATTTGCTGGGTCATATGGCAACTC